AAAAGTCAACACATAGATCTTTATTTTCCACATTTCCACCTTATGTTAGGTACATCTTATGCAAACAACATACGCCATTATGTTGCTATATCTGTTTTAACTTTTTAATAGGAGAGTTTAGTCTATTCAAATTTGTTTTTGCTTAACAATTTTATGTTCTCTGGGCTATACTGTTAACTACTTCCTGGACCACACCTCTTTTGTGGCAAAGTCTCTTTGTCTTTTCCCACTCCTGTTAGCTAGCACGTTAGAAGTAATAAATCCAATTTCTATACTATTAGTAGTTTTTCTTACTATTAAATATGTAATTTTGAAATCACCTCTCTAAATGTCAAGCATTAAAGAGTATCAGCCATCTGTCTCTTTCCATTATCCCTTCACTAAATAAGATTTTGGCATACTTTTAGCTCTAATAATCTATTATATTTTGTTAGAATTACCTGGAATTTAAAGAATGGTTTGGCTGGGAAGAGAATTCTATGGCTGTAATTCTTTACCCCTCAGGATTCTTAAGACTTGTCTCAATCTCTTTTAGTATATAATGTTATAAATGAGAGATGATATTAATTCATTTTTTCCCCTCTTGGCAGCTAACTTTCTTGTCTAGACAGTTGATCTTTTGAGATTCATAAATATGTAGATTTGGGCTCCTCTTTAAATACATGTCTCATCCTTAATGGGCTCTTTCACTGAAGAAAATTCTATTTCTTGGATTATTGTGTCTCATATCTCTTTTACACAGATCATTCTTTTCTTCTAAGTTATTACACAAATGCTGAACTTTCCATAGCAATTTTCCATGTTTCAGTTTCCATTTCTTTGCCATCCTACTGGGATAAATCTCAATTTGGTTTCCTAAATCACTGACTTTGCTCTTCAACATCTGCTCTCCTGGTGTATATACTGGGTTTTAAAATTGTTATCTTCTTTGTTTCTAAGAACTCCTATTCTCCAAATGCTCTTTGGTCCATAGTGCTTGTTTATTTTATTGATGTGATCCTTTCCCTAGAATTTCTTCGAGGGCACTCTTAGAAGTTCTTTAACAATTCTTTCCAGTTTCTTAAATTAACTGTTGCACTGAGGATTATATATTCTGCAGGCCCAGATGGGCCCTTCTTTTTAAGGCTATTAAAAGTTCTTAGTTTTCTACCGACCTTTAAACATCTATTTATATTTTTAAACAAAGGCTGAGATTGGTAGCTTACACGAACTCTCCCTTAGAAGGGCTGCTCTCCCCAGCAGGTACACTCACATGGGCAAAGGGGGCCCAAAGAATTCTATGGGTTATCTTTGGCCTTGATGTGAAGAGCAGGCAGAGACAAGGCAACAGCCACACTTACTGCAGTGTGTGGGGGTGACACAGGTGCAGGCTGGAGTACCCCTTGGTGGAGGGAGTAGGGAGCATAGTATCACGGGAGCGGATGCTAGGCTAGGCAGTTTTCTTCTTCCTTCCATGCTTGCTGTGACAGGGCTGCTCTACTTCTCTTCTCTGGCCCTAAAATGTCATTGGACCCCTTGCTGTGTGTAGCAGCCTTTCCAAACCATTCATTGTGCTAAAGGACCCACAGGGCCAGGAACCAAAGGCTTTTATTTGCTGCCTCACAACCTGGAAATGTTCCAAGGCTCTGCCAGGAAACTGCTTCCAGAAAGCTCCTTTTTTGGTATTTATTGGGTTGGGGCTGATTAACTCTGATTTGTGTATCTGATAGTTTGGTGCCATCTACGTTCTCCAGAAACATCTTCAGTTAGGTTCCACTGAGGTGACCTTTCCTTGCATTTTCGCAGTTACACTCTTCCCATCCTAATTTTAATACTGTAACCAAAATGGGAACTGGAGGATGAAATCAATTGGTGGGACTCACTCCAACCATCATCTTGATTCGAAAGCCTCTAGAAATAAAGTGGTTATTCAAATGCAACCCTAGATCTCTTTCAAATGGGCTAAGGAACTACTATTAGCACTCCCCTTCCCATTTTTAGGAACCTCCACCAATGTAGCACCAAAATCTTTAGCATAAGGTTAGACTTAAAAAGAATAAGGCAGAGAAACATTTTATTCTAAAGGGTGAACGATTTGATTCTAAATGAGGTCAGATTTGAAATAAGTATATATAAATGAAAAACAGATAGTAATCTAGATATCTAGACCCATCACCATACTTAAACTCATTCTTACCTTTGACAGCGGAATGAGAAAATCCAGTTTGTATGAAAGGATCACTCTAGTGAGCAGCACGACAAATACCACATATGCAGAGTTCTCAAAGTCCGTTAACTGAACCTAGACAAGCAGGAGCCCAGAGAAGTTGTGGACTAACCACATACACGTGCTTTTCCCCAACACGCCCCTCCTTGGATCACGTCATTCCCCAGCCATCTCTAAATGCCCCATTTGGGTCTAGAAGCCCTCCGCCCTCAATCTGTTCTCAGCTATCAGTCTCCCTTAGCTTTCCGACTTGCTTTTAACATGCACACATTTGATTCTGCACTGCCTTCCAATCAGTGTGAGCACCTCCGATGAGAGCACCAGAAAGGTGACGGGCTGTGGGAGGACAGGTGCATTTGAGGTGGTTCCCGCCGACGCACGTCTTACCTCCATGGGTCGGAATTCTACTCTCCATCCGATATCTGAGTTTGGAGGAGGAGGCTTAAATCTCATTGTCTGCCAGTTTGTGGACTGAATATTCTATAATAAAAAAGAATAAAACCAACTTGCCATGTGTCCAGGAAAGTATTAAGATGATCTGATATTTAATAAGGGAAGACTGTTCACTGTCCATACCTAGTACTCTTCAATTTACAAATACAAAAAGGTATAATTTAGACTTTCTTGGAGCGTGACCTGCTAGGAAAACAAACAGCAAGTGTTTAACAAAAGTTGAGTGATATGTCAGCAGCGCTAAAATAACTGATCAAGTTATTTTTATGCAGTATGCCTGAATTTTTCATCATTATGCAAACGAGAAAATACTGACCAAGAAATTTAGATTTGGAGATATAACCAAGAAGAACCATAAAATAAAAGTACTTTAAACCAATTTAAAATTTTTCTTAGTTCTTTACTGTACTGGGTAATGAAAGGCATAAGATTCCTACTGTCACTAATTCTTCACAGGCATAGAAAACTGCCTCAACCTTGGTTAGTAAAGTAAAAATGCATCTAAAACAGGAGATACCTCAAAATGGTCAGACTCATTGGCATCGTCCAGGTGTATTTTCTCTTTGAACAGAGTCAGTGGGTCTCTAATAAAGAGGTGAGCAACATGCTGGGCCAGGAGATGATCAATGCCTGCAAAGAGAGGTCACACTGGACTCACTTCAAAGCTCAAGATTGTACTGTTCTCTAAGTCCAGTAAGATGACAGGACAGATCAGGAAGTTTGAAGAGAGGGTATCTAGAAGACTAGGCAATGGCTGGTTTGTTCAGTATTCTCACGTTGCCCAGGATTTTATCCTATGGGGCCTGGGGAAGTGTCAGTTTTATTTGCTATTTACACAGTGCCTGCTGGGGCATTGGTGGGGACCTATATATGGATCTCCAAAGTAAGTTCCTTTTGCTAAAAGTTAAGAAGATCTCACAAGTATTTGGAACTTAAAACTTTAGGAACAAGCAGCCTCATAAGAAAAGTGAGAGACTTCACTCTAAAAACAGAAATCAGACCAGGAGTCAGCAAAAAAGTTTAAGAGTTTTGAAGAACTAAAGGTGTACAATCAAATGTAGAAAAAAGGCATGGATGCTCACCTTCCTGCAACAGTTGTTCGTAGATTGCTTTATCTATTGTCAACTCGATGTCATTATATTTCTCACCACACTCAGATAAATAACTATCTATTGAATCATATCGGGATTTACTAATTCTGTAGTTATTGTTCTTCAGTGGCTACAATTGAAAAAAAGTGAATGAATGCCAAATAAAATGATCTGGAAATAAATTAATACCCAAAATAATTATGTTAAAATGTTCTTTTTTTTTTTAAAATAATATAATTACATTAAAATGTCCAACCTAAACATAAGAAGTTAACCCTAAAATGTTTTATTAGGGAAAATTTTATTTAAAAAGCCTGGAGGCAATTTAAGTAGCCTTTTTCTGATATAATTTAAATATACTTTTACATTTTCTTAAAAAGCAGATCACATTCATTCTTATTAAGCTAGGAAGAGAAAGACTAAGTTTGCAGTAAAAAAGCCTGTAATGACTTCCGAAATATTTTTTTTAAAAATTGCACTAATTTTAGAAGATAAAACAAATACAGATTTTAACAAATGATGAAAATTATCTTCCCACCCAAACAAAACAGCATTTCGCACATAAAGTTCTCTGCTTGTAAAAAAAATGCAAAAACGAAAACCTTAAAACAAACACTACGAAGCCAAAGACAGATTTATAACCCATAAATTTCTTCCCACATGAGATTAACTCAAGATAAAAATGTAAGGGAAACTTCAAAATCTCAAGTATTTACAACAACTGCATTTTATCAGCTTGACATAAAAAGGCTGCGAAGGAAAATCGTTCCCACCTCCAGTCCTCTTTCCTCCCGAGTTCTATCATCTACAGATGCAGAAATCACTCCCCAGCGACAATCAATGTCTGACACATAGCCTCGGTAAAAAGGAGACGCAGCACTCAAAGCCATCTGAAAACAAACAGGTTCAAAATGTCACGTGTTGAAAAATAACTCCAGGCAGTTTACCTCTGGTCAAGAAGAATCAGTTATGCAACTCATACAGAGCCCGACTACCTGTGCCTGCTTTCTTATGGTGAAATACACCAGAAGGAGACTCAGATCCCTGGATCTGATCCATTTAAATCATCCTCACTGTAACGTAAGGACATGAAGAATGGGAGAAGGAAGCTGGCTACACTTGAACTTGACACTTTAATACATAAACGTCTTATTAGTAACAGTAAACTTCTACAGCTCAGACTCAGTCTGTTGGCTCTTAATCTGCATATTTGTGTTAGTTCATTTCTGAATGAAATCTTAACTGGACTTAAACAGCACATAGTAAGCAAATTTTGCACATGTAGTCTTTATTTTACACAAAAAAGTACTTAAAATAAGATGTAATTTCTACTTACCACAATTGGGCAGATAGTAGCCAACTGATCATAAAGGTATCTAGCCTCAGATATGCTGCAAGCTTGGAATGTTACCTATTTAAGAATTGCAAGTTATTAACAACAACAAAAAAATCACCCACATCCTCCCCAAGGAGTAAAATCTAAGAAAGATTGGAGAAGGAAGGGGGCATGGTATGTAATAGTTATTCCATCGATGACAACACTTAATACAGGAGTTTTATTTAAAAGCTGTCTCGGATGAATTTTGCTAGAAAACGGTATTTAACCATGCTCACGACTAATATAAATAACATGTTGCTAAGCTAAATAAGATTTTAAAAGTCAAGAAAAAATAAGACACTAAGATAAGTAATGAAGTTCAGTAAGGCATTTCTTCTAGCTTATTTCATTCGACAGCTTCCCATTTACTTCAGTTAGCTGAGGGGTTATATAACTTTTGGTAAAAAGGGATTTGGAGATGCTAATGATGGATTTCAGAATTCACTGGTGGCAGTATGAGAAATAGCTTGGAATAGGTAAGACTGGAGGAAAGCAGAGCGGTTAAAAACACTGCAACCATCAAAGGAAAAGCTGAGGAGGGCTGATGGGAAGAGGCACATCAGAATTAAGGCAGCAGGCTCTGCTAACCAGGATTATAGAAAGTGAGTGTGTCACTTAGAATTTGGCTTGAGTGTTCGTAGGACAGACAGAAAGAAGAGGCCCCATGACATGGTGGGCTTCCGAGGCCAAGGAACAGACAAAGAAGCCCTGTAAGGGGCTGGGTCTCCAGGGTTGGTGCCCAGAAGAATAAACTGGAGAAATATTGGGGGAACAGGCTCAGATGATGTACTGAAGATGGGTAGATCATCAAGAAAATCTACAGAAGAGTGGTAAATAGGATATTTAGAAGTTAGCTAGAGAAAAATATTACATAATTAGTACAAATCCTCCATAAACAATTACCCAAAACAAACAAAAAAAAGTGCTGCCTCCTTTGGCATGGGGGTTGAGTGGAAGAGGCAAGGAATACAAATCATGGTTGTTAGCTTTTGTATTAACTGCAATTTGGGAACAGTTCAAATTTCCTGTTACTGTTATTTAATAATGACAGTCTAAATTTAGTGTTGGTATAGGAAATGATTTAGGTGCTTAATGCTTGAAATAGCAGCTGACTGAATATGTTTATTGTCATAATCCCAACATTTTAGTTTCAATAGTTTTAGCCAGATCTCAACTTTGCATTTTTTACAAGCAGAGAACTTCTACTGGAAGAGTCACAGTCCACATGCTGAATTACGACAGCATTTCATGTCAGTGTGGTGACTAACTATAGAAAATCATTTACAAAAGTGATTATATCCTCTTCCCATGTCCTCCTCAACTTTTCCTTTGATGGTTGCAGTGTTTTAACTGCTCTGCTTTCCTCCAGTCTTACCCATTCTTCCTATAATTTCCATTCTTCCTATAATTCCTATAAGTCAGTGCTGTATTTTCATTAAAATAACCAGCCACTACAAATTAATTCAACATGGAGAAGAGCTGAGTCCCCGATATCAAGGAATAAGAGTATCAAAGGTTAAAATAAAGATTGAGATGAATTGGCAGTTAGGTCACTGATAATCAGGAAGGGTAGTTTCTGCAAAAAGGTAGAAACTCAGAAGTCAGTTTGTGCATGGGTAAAGATTAAATGAGAAGTGAGGATATGGGAGACAGTAAGCAAAGTATTTACATACTTATGTGCTGTGACCCCATTACTAAAAGCTTCAGGAAGGTAGGAGATCTACTGCCTTGTTCTTTATCCCAAGTGTGTAGAACAGTATCTGCCACCTACACTAAGTACTTAATAAATATTCATTAAATGAGAGTATCTTGAAGGAAAAAGGGTACTAAAGAGAACACAGGAGCAAAGGTAAGTTTTATTTTTATAAGATGGGGAGATACTTGAAAAACTGTGACCTTATAGGCCAGATTTATACATGGATTGAGATTAAAAATACCTAAATGTTCTCCGAGTGCTCTGACTGCTGAATTCTTTTGAACATGAAGCTCTTAGTTTATTTAGGTTCCTTTTCTTCACTCTTAGGTATTGTAGTTGTGTGTCTGTTATTTTTGTCTTTAAAAAGGTCTTACGATGAGATTTCTTTTCTCAGTTTTTTGCCTGGCTTCTCTTAGATGGCCTAGTACATACTAGACAACCCTGGAAAAGCCAACCCTAGAAAAGTATGCTTAAAAACAGTACCTGGGATCCAACAGTTGTTACAGCAGTGAAGAGACTTATCCTAAATATATTTAGTAACTGGCTTCCTTACTCTAGAGCTGATACAGCCACTGTCAAACTAAATGGAACATTGCTGCAGATAATGGCTATGGTTGGGGGGAGGAGGAGGAAGAAAAAAATTCTAATACCTTAAAAAGGTATAAATATGTAAACAGTTTTGGCTCCTGGTATCCTTTTAAAGTACATAGAGAAGAGAAGCAATGTCACTAGAAACTGATGAGGGTGGGGAAAAAAAGAGAAGTATGAAAAACAGATGTTAGAAACCTAAACATCTACTCTAAAATTTATCTAGAATGCAGTTTTAAGCCACATGATTTTCTTGGGGGTGGGGAGACCTCTTACAACATGCACGAACTTACTGACATGAACTTATTAAATGATTCTTGAAAAGCTCCCCAAGAGAAGAATTTAAATGTGGTTAAAATGCTTTTTGTTTTATACAGTAAGGTTTCCATTAATCTTAAAAAATTAAAGCTATTTTTTCTGTTTTACTGTAAAACACTTTCTAGTGTTCTACTTAAGAGACAAAGCAGGGATTTCTGTGGGGATTTGTGGAATTTGTCTCATTTACCACACACTTCACATGACCTGTGATTTTTGTGAGTACTGAAACTGGGGTGCTGGACGTGCCATTGAGAAAAAAAAATTGAATCCTAAATCCATGACGAATCTTAAATTGGATGTAAAATTATATCTACAGGCAACAAAAATGTTAACTACCTACCATTAGGACACATTTATTTGTATAAATACATTGTTTCAAGGGAAAGAACAGCCCTTTGGAATAAAGCCAATTGTGCTGTTCCTGGCAAAACACCCTGGGGTTTAATATTAAACCAAGAAAGGCAATCGGTATTCCAATAGAACTGATATAATTTTAAAGCCAGGCACTATAAGTTCTAGAGCTTAATAGTTCTCTTTGGAAATATTTATAATTAAGATAGGAAAGCAGATATGCAGTTAAAAGTCAAAAAGTCTCTTTTTTTAATGAGGCATGACCATTTGTAAGAAAACTTTCTGGCCTGTGTTTGTTTGGAAGCTGCATATTTTATACCAAACATATACAGCAGGAAAAGCAGGAAAAAAATTTTACCTTTGGCTATGGTTTTTTTAAAACACATGACTCTGGCATTCTGTTTTGGTTATATATAGTTGTAAAAATAAACACATCAGAGATATATGTGCAAGAAGGTACATGTCTACACTGCAGCTGTTTGAGATGATGGGGATGCTGGGTTTCTTGGCCTCTGTACCAAGCATGCTCCGGCTGGAGGCCCAGGGCGCCTCGCATGGGGGCCGGGCTGTGCACTGCTCCCGGCCTCTAAGGACACCGATCAGCCAAAGTAATTAGAACCAGATAAAGTCTCCTAACAAGAGGCCTCTCTTTTATTTGAATTTTTCAACTTGAAAATGTATATTTTGTGCAACTCCTACTCCTGTTCTGAAATGATTTGAAACAAATTAAAGGTTAAAACAAATACTTCTGTTAATAAAAACAATGAAATAAATATTAGCTTGGAGTCAGACCTAGAAGGGGCTTTAATATAAACCTTTTTTTAGAATGATGAGAAAACCAAGGCCAAAAAAAGTAAAGGGAGTTACCCAAATATAGGGGCTTTAATATAAACCCTTTTTTAGACCGATGAAAAAACCAAGGCCAAAAAAATGTGAAGGGAGTTACCCAAATACCAGAAACAGACAAAACCCAAATGCAGGCCCACGTGCTACCTGCTGAGTTTTGTGTTCTCCCATCCAGGTCTTAAGTGAGCTTGGGCACGATCACTGCCAGAAGCACCAGTGATCGCATTAGATCCAGGGAAAGTTTTAACAGTAAACAGAGAAAGGCTATTCTACCTTCTGTGTAACTTAGTCAGGGGCAAGGCAAACACGGGCTGATAAATATTTATTTTTTTATACCATTATATGGCCTTGCATGAATATAAGAATCTTAAGTCCTTCCCTTGGATCACAAAATCACTGGAATGCATCAGAGTTCATTTTCAGAAACAGTTAAGAGATTTGAGCAATGTTTACAAGCTCAAAGCTAGATTGTCACTAGATGGCAGCAAAATTAGGCATACAAAAAGATTAGAGACAGTGACTTCAAAATATTTCACATTTTAAGTTATCTTTGCAATAAACTGTAGATTCTGTAAATTCTCTGTGAAGAGAGAGCTTCTAATGAAGTTACTAAAATAACTTCACTGGTTTTCAGAAAGGCCTACCGGCTACCATTGCAACCAGATCGAATGGGGAAACATGCTATATAAAGGAAACTTGCTATATAAAGTTAGTAAACAGAAATGGATGAGGACACTCTGCCTCTCTATACATTTGAAACAATACCTGAAGACAGCAATTGCCCATTCCAAATCCCATGGCATCCATGTAAATATGATCAGGCTTAGAAGCCTTCGCTGCCTCATCATCCTCAGGAAATGTTTCTATAAATGGAGATGGTGTATTCTTGTCCTTAAAAACTGATTTTAAAAAAAAGAAAAGAAAAGAAAGAGAAAGAAATGAGTGAGAGCCAAGAATTAAACAATATAACAGGGATCTCTCCCACTCGCCACCTCTCTGTGGACTTACTTGGTACATTGATGACAACCTTTTCTCCTCTCCTATGTCGGATATTTCTTGTTAGGGTGCTGAAACAGACAACCAAATATCATAAATGAGTCACCTAAGACCCATCATGTAAAAGAAGAATTTGATCACATATAAGTAAATGAATGAAATCCTACCTCAAACTAATTCTGAGGCCACCCTATAGAAAATTTATATGGATCAAAATGCTCTGAGGGATACTCTGAAAGAAGGCTTTGCATTAATACCACTTCCTTGGGCTCTTAAGAATGCTTAATCACTGCTTCCCCAGCATCCTGTAACTCACCAGATCGAGCTCAAGAGTTTGGGGTCTGCCATGATTTAGTCTCACCCTACATTTCTAACACTTCCCATATTAAGTCCAAAGACTTTAACCAAACTTTAATACTTGCTTTCCCCAGGTGTCTCTGGAGCCCAAATACCTCATCACTCCCTCCCCCAATCTGTAGCATTAATACGTATCCTGTAGACTTGCAATGTCTAATGCAGAAGCTACCAAACTGTGGCTACTAAGCATTGAAATGTGGCTAGTCCTGATTACAAGATGCTGTGAAACACATCAGATTTTGAAAGCTTAGTACAAAAAGTTTCTTATTAATACTTTAAAAATATTGAGATTATAAATTGAAATAATTTAAATATATAGAGTTAAATAAAATATAAAAGCCACTGCTTTCATGAAGCCTGTTTGTTCCCCTCAGTCAGAAGCACCCTCCTTTCTCCAAGAAGGATCTCTGGTACTACCATTTTTTGATATCCTCATAATCTATCTTTTCTTGCAGGTGAGTTTCTCTATTTTCCACTTAGCACACTATAACATTTGAAGTTGGGAACTATGCCTATAAATCTTTGTCTCCTCCCAAAGACTTTGCATATAGCAGGTGTGCAGAGCTGCTTTAAAAAAAAAAAAAAAATGAATACTGAGAAGTCCCAACATCCCCAACTCTAGATCAGGACACTGGATTCAGGATGACATGTGAGACTCAAAGTACAAAGTCAAGATCAGACTGGGGTGGACCCTGAAGCAACTTAAAACCCAAGAATTAAACTATAAACTAATAGAACTAGAAGGTAGAGAGTGCCTATTATATGCAGATGTAAATATTTTACCTTATTATCAAAGCATATAGAATGGGATGAGTAGATCACACATACTGGTGGTAATGTATAGGAGAAAAAGGTAGGAATAATTAAAGGAAAGGAAAGTTTCCCAAAATAAGAGTTTATAGAAATACAACTGAAAAGAATCTGCTCACTAAAGGAGAGGACAGTGGCTAAGTTAATGACTTTGAGATAAGTCAAGCCTGGATACCAGAAGCAACAATGAAGCATTCTTGGGGGTAGTGAGCGTGTCAACAGGTGTGTGTGTGTGTCTGTGCATGTTGCCTTTCCTGGTTAATTACAAAAGGAGTCAAGATTCAGTAAATGCTCAGTAAGGATTTCCGGGCAGGAAAACCATCCTCTCAGAAGGCAGGGATCTGAGGGGCGCCTGTGTTTAGCCATACTCACCCAAAGCGGGGATGCTTGTTTATTGCTTCATCGGGAAAGAAGAGGGACTTGGAAGCACCTTCTTCAACTGGGTTGGGTTTGAACTCAGGCAGCGTGAACCCAGGACAGCCTAATCTACAACAAATTGAAGAACTAAATAGGTAGGATTTGTTTTCACGAGTTAATTATGCCTCACCATTACTGCACCTGTTAAGAAATACCGCATGTCTATTATTCCACAAATGTTCTGTAAATACTGTGCCCCTTTACGACCATCCCTTGCACTCTGTATTGTTCACCAACATCTTTTGTGATTCCAGCCCTTTACTGACCTCATCAGAGAGCTTCACCCACTATTTACAGAGCATTGACTTACGTCCCACCCGTCTCCCCATTCAATAGCTATGACCTACAGCACAGTTCCTTCCCCTGGTCACATCAATTGGCAGGGATTACAGGTTTTCCTCTATGCAGCTTCTCAGGCTTCCTCTTTTACTAGCTCTAAATTCTCGACTTATTTTTTGACCCCTGTATACTGCTACCGTCCCCAACCTACTGATAAGCTTTGTTGGAATCTCGAAGTGGCCTCCTGTTTTTTGGCCTCTGCAGGTCACCTCACGAATACCTCAAGTTGTGTCTCTACAGGTGTCCCCACTCACCCCTGAGATCTCTTTCTCAAGTCTGAAACCCAACTCTATTATCTATTTGACCTAAAGGCGATTTTTAATTCTAACACAGAAAAATGAGGCTCTGTATTTATCCTTAAATGTAAAGTTCAAATTCCACATCACTTGCAGTGACACCACCAAGTGTTTCGAGTTGAGAATTTTAAGGTCATTGTTAAGTGTGTTGTGAGGGTGGACAAAGGCTAACAAAATTAGCGAAAGCAAAACAAGGGGGCTCTTATCAGGGTTTTAGATCAGTGGTAGGAAACTTTTAGTTGAGAGCCAAGACTAGCCCATGCCCTCTCTTCAACCCTTCCCTACCTTTTATAAAATGAAGTACCTGTTGGTTGCCCACACTGGTCTTGTGAACAATTGAATTTACTGATCTTATCTAGAAAAGAGTTCCCAGGGTTCCGCATTACTTGCTACGAGCCTGCAACCTTCAGAAAAGTCTAGGAGAGTGACAAACTAAACCTGGGAATTCTTAGCTAACCAGAATGTACTTGGCAAGTCAGACTCAGCTCTTCAGACTCCAGTATCATCCAACAGAACTTTCCGCAATGATGGAAATGTTTAATACATGCACTGTCCATTACCAGTATGGTAGTAGCCAGCCACCTCTAGCTATTGAGCACTTGAAATGAGGCTAGTGGGAATTAGGAACTGAGCTCTTCATTTTATGTGAGTTTGATTAAATTTAAATAGTCCTATAACCATTGTTTTGGACTACAATTCCACACTACAGTTTTTGCCTCTTTACGGAGAGAAAAATCACAGTTTATACTTAAGAAACCAAGTACTGTTTTCTCTCTTGATCCTAAAATAAAACTTTCCTTATCATTTACTATGGATGTAAGGTGAGGCTTCTATGACTAAACAATAATCATTCTTTTTTTGTTTCAATTCCAAAAATACTCTCCCATCATAAAACATATGGCTAGGCTTTTTTCTCTTTTTTTTCTTTTTTTTTCCAAGATTTTTAGAATAAAACATTTCTGTCTCAACTATCCATCATAATAAGAAAGCTAAATCTATAAAAAAATTTAAAAGGGCAGCTGTCCCATATGCGGGGGGCATTCTCACTTAAAATAAAAGCCATTAGGTTTATCAGAAATTTCCCTTTGTGCCACAATAAAATACATTCCTGAATTTTAAAGTATAAGATAAAATATTTCTGGTTTGTGTTAAGAATTTTTTTTTTTAGTTTGCTAAGTAAAAGGTACAACCCTCTTAATGTTAAGGGGGAAAAATAAAGAAAATTTAAGATACTGAATTTTTCAGTTCACTAAAAGTTGTCAAATAACATCTGTAATCTACTTTGTGGCCTTTATTATTCTAAAGTTTCATAATAATTACCAAACCAACAGCCTTGACATCTGGTCTCCACCCCCAGGTTTGCTGATTTTGCTACCTCTTGATCCATCCCCACCACCCACTCTCATCCAGACTGCCATCTCCCCTGAGTGAGCCCCCTTACTCAACTCCCAGTAAGCCCTGGCATCCATCCTGCAGCCACACTGACACTACAGCGCAAGTGAAGGGCTGCAAAACAAAAACGTGATACTATCCACCCAACCCAAACTTTGCAAGGCCTTTTACTGCTTTTAGAATAGCAACCAGAATTCTGAGTTAACAGGATCTGGCCCACCAGCTACCTGCCCAGCGTCACCTTACCCCACACTTCCACTTCATTCTCAGCCTCCTAGTCACACCAGTCAGCTTTCTTCTAGTTCTCAGAAGGCTCCATGCTCTCCAGGCTCATCCTAGGACTTGTACCCAGCTGCTCCCTCTCCCTAGAACACTCCTTCCCGCTTCCACGCCTATTAAACTCCTACTAGAGCTTTGGACATCACTCCAATCATCCTCACTCAGAGAAGCTTCCCTCCTCCGTGCACAGTCCATCAGACAACCATGTCACACTCTCTCCGTGCCACATCTCTTCCTCACACTGCTGCCCAAGTTTACAGTCACGGGACTTGTGGGTACCTCTTGACTCTTTGTCTCTTCCTCTAGCTCCATAGAGGGAAAGACTGTGCCTATTTTCACTCGTGTTTGAATCTCATCACTGTGTGGCTCTGGTGTGGAGCAGGCACTCAAGCATCTGAGTGAATGGCAGTCATGATTTCTTTACCTCCTCCTTCAAACATTAGGGCAAAGGAACATGCCAATTCTCTTCCAAGCAAACCCGTCCCCCCTCACCCAGCTGGGTTTTCTTCCTTCTGGCAGGGAGGGGGCGTGGCCTACACAAATGAAATGAAGGCTTCACAGAATATAAGATGTTTTCTAAATGGTTGATGAGTTGCTTTCATTGATGTGACAATGAAAATTTAAAAAAAGAAAATTCCCACTTAAGTGTTCTTCTCAGACCAACAGTATGACTCGAAATGCCTATGTTCATTGCAGACATTTACCAGAAAAAAAAAAAGTATGAAAATACTTCGAACTGCTCCAGGACGTAGATGCCAATCCCCAAAGCTTTTCTGAACTTCGAGGAGGTAAGCACACTTTGTCACAATCTAAAGACGTCTAGCAAAGATAAGTCAGATTGATGATTTGGTAGAACTGCATTCTTACGTACAGGTCCTATGTATAATTATAGCACATTTATGTACCTCATTCTAAGACCATAATCTCACTTATTGCATTTATTTACTTTTATGAACTTTTAGCCCTATCTAGATTTGATGACAAATCTCAAATTTTCTTTGCAGTACAATGTCTAAACATGACTTAAGGACCCCCCTTGTTCGCAGTTAATATGCATCAATATTTGCATTGGGAGCACTGATGTCATCCCTCTAACAGTGACCTCGGCCACTAATATCATCACTTGCTGGTAGACAAACACATGGGAAGGTGCTACTGTTACAGTCGCGTGAGAAGAGCACTTAATAATCATCAGGAGACTTGGCTACTCCTTACAGGGTCAGAGTCGCGTGGCAGACGTTCTGCTCATTCCACCCCACCCTTGGGTGGACACTCCACATTGCTAATCAGTCATGGTGGTTCTCACAGTCTTTCCGACCAAGTCCAGATGAACGCTCTCACCCCAGAACTCCGGGCCCCGATCCACCCACTGACGCTGGCATGCAGTTACTGCCTGCAGCTCTAATGTTACAGATTCTATCAAAGGCAGTATGTAAAGAATGACCTGTCTGTAAAGAATGAGAATTATAGGGTCAAATGTTTGATCATGATTTGCTCTCTTTATAATCTAAAGTTATAAAATGTCTGCTGGGGCACGTTAATGTAGGAACTAACCTGGGAAATGAAGTTATTGTGCAAAGAGCCTGATTTTCTTCTAATAAAGAAGTTGCCTCCTTCCGGCGTTTTCTCATGTTGTCTTCAACTGTGTTGAACTCAGACATTGTTCCTCCGTAGGGCTGTCCCGGTGTCCCTTCAATCATGTAACTCCCATACTCTGGTCTCCAAAGGGTAGGATGGCTACAGAGGAGAAAAATGTCGCTCCATCTTATTCTTGTGCTGAAGTCTACTCAATTTTCAGAAGTTTTTAAAAAGTTGCCTCAAAATTTTTAGACACTATTAGGTATAAATTAAGCTAAAAACTCCTTCACAATTCACAAAGGCTGTTAATTTTTCATAGCTCTTCACCTATGTAAGAGTTAAAGTACTGGGTCCAAAATATTTATAAATAACTGAAAATGGACATGGGGCACTCACTGTCCAAGACAAGCTAGCTACTTTGCAGGAAAGGAGATGAGGCTTTAAGGGCTCTTTCACTTCTGTGCCAAGGTCCAAACTCAGATGCAGCCTAGCCTACCAAAATCTCGTGAGTAGAAAAACAAACT